ATGTGGATGATATGGTGAAGAAGATTCTTCAAGAGAGGACGTGACTCTAAAGTTCCTTCAAGATTTCAAATCACAAACTCAGAAGTTAGAAAAGTTGGAACGTGTCATTTAGGACTTAATCTCTACTCTTGCATTGTACCTCTGCAATTTGGAGCATGCATTGCATTGATTAGCCTTTCAATAGGCCAAAGTTGTTGAAAGCATTAAAAAGTGAAAATTTTAATGGCACACTATTCTTCCTTTTGCTTTTTGATCCTTACAGCTGCCTGCCTTCTGATTTGGAGGGTGCCGTTCAGCAGTCGGGCCAAGCAGCTGCCTCTTTTGTATCTTCAGGAGGAATGAGAGCCATTGTATGTGTTACCAAGACTACATTCTATACTAATGCAATTGGTTGTCACTAACAATGAGATAATGAAATTTAGGAAATGTGTTGTCCCATCTTAATCTGAGTCTCTTAATGAATCATGTTGCCCTTTCTTCATTTTCTACATTCTGCCTTTGACCTCTCAAGTCCTCCAAATTTAGTATATTATCAGATTCCTGCTGTCTTTCTAATCACGGCAACATAAAATGCCTAGTACCTCATAAGAGAGATGAGTTTGATTAACATACATTTGGTTTTATCGGGTGGAGGAGAGGAGACATATCTTTTCTGATCCGTCTGCTGTATTATGGAAAAGTTATGCGTAATGCTCTATGGATTCCTAGCACTATTTCTTGTTTCCCATTTATAGTACTGGTTTAATCATGATGGGCTAACCATGAGTCCTAAAACTAATCGGTGGAAGTTCAATGTGACTTTCTTCCTCAGGTTGAGCTCTTAATACCACAGCTTCAGTTTCTTGATGATGAGGGTGCACAAGCTGAATTATGGGAACTATCAAGAACATTTTTGGAAACACTTATTGAGGAGACGGGATGCGAGGTTAGCTTAAAAATTGTGACAATACTAGTAATCTAGTATAAAGATTTTGCGACATACTCCCTATATCCCTTTATATATGGAAGTACTTGACTGAACAAGAAGTTTGACACAGATATTATATTAGTAGTAATGGAAGTAAATATTAAAGTAATGTAGAAATAAGCATCATTCTTAAATTTGAAATTTAATTAATTAATAAGTTTAAATTATCGAAAATCGTGAAAGTTGTAAAGAAAGGAATGCTATACACATTTTGGGACATTCCAGAAATGGAAGACTTTCATTTAAATGGGAACAGATGAGTAATAAGAATCTGTCCCTTAAACTTTATAGCAAGATTTACAAAGAGTTCTATCTGCACAGGGGTGAAGAAACAGTTGAGATCTATGGTATCATAAAGGTGTGTATGATCACACTGTTTGCAGTATTCACTATTCAGAAACATTTCCAATGTCAGCTGCATATAACTTAGACTGCTTCTAGGATCCATCATTCACGAGTTTCGATGGCGCCCAAAGTATTTCTCGGTCATCATAAAAAAAATAAAACTCAAGACTGCATCTAGTTTTCAGGCCCTGTTATCTTGTCCCATACAGTATGCAAATATAGATTTAGCTCCTTATCCATGTTTAATTACTAAGGTCTAAAACTTTCACTGCTAGAGAGTTAAAGCCATTTTTCCAGATGCTGGAGCTGCCGCACTCCTGAAATATCGGTGGAAAGATGCTACATTTGGATTCGCCAGGTAGACATTGTTACATGAGCATTCTCTGTCAATGATTTGATCAGTAGTGCTTCCTGAGTTATAAGAGTTCCTAAAATGGTTCCTCTTTCAGTGGAATACATGAATACAGTTACTTTTAACCATAAAATTGTAATATTATATGGATAGTCGACTAATATTTGGTTGTTGTTCTTGATGTACTTACTAATCCAGTCTAGGTGATCGGAAGCCAGTCAGTAAGGAAGACGAAATTGTAGTCATGGTAGTTCCTGATTATCAGATGCTGGAATATGTAGAGAAAATTGCATCCGATCTCTCAGATGACCCGGTACCCATTTGATATGATTTCTCTTTATATTTGGATCTCTTATTCGTTGAACAACTACTATCTCTCCTTCTCTCTCTGGCTCTTTCCTTGAATAGTTAAAGTGCCAACTTAGCCTCAAAGTACTTGAGCACCTTAACAGCATTACAGCAATTAGATACTTATACTCGATTCATCACAAACTGTTCACTAGAAGTCACTGTAGTGCATTACTAGCTTTATTCTTGTCTGCCACAGTAGAAAAGACAACACATTACTTTTTGAAGCTAGTGCTAACTGCATGTGTAAACAATGGCCTTAAAATGAGGTGCTATTTTTGTCAGTAATCTATACACCGTCCTTCATGTAGTTCCTCATTTTGATATAAACAAAACCTAAAAATGTCTGATTTTAATAATAGGAACCATGACTACCCAAGTTCTCAGAAAAATGTGTGGATTGGCATGCCACTAACTTTATTTTAGTTTCCTTTGAGTTCTGTACCCTGTTGCTGAAAGCCAACGTATATGGGCTACAAAGAAAGGTCAACCATATTATCAGAATGATCTTGTTTTTACTGGATTGACTGATACTGCTGGAAGGTTAGTAATCTGAAAAATCTTCAAATATATATCTTGTGGTAGGAACAAACTTACCAACATATTTATTAAAATGAAAAAGAAACCTTAGTTAGAACAGAGGGAATATGCTAGTTACTTGGGAAGAGTTACATCGAGATGACTTTACACAGTGATTCTTGTTCATAGGTCTTTGAGAATTAGCTATAGAAAACTTAAGAATAGAAGAATATTGCGTTCAACCTTCTTCCAAGATTGATGTGTTATCACTGAGTTACATTGAGATGACTTTACACAGTGATTCTTGTTCATAGGCTTTGAGAATTAGCTATAAAAAACTTAAGAACAGAAGAATATTGCGTTCAACCTTCTTCCAAGATTGATATGTTATCACTGAGTTTATACTCATTTTTCCATTTCTCTTTCGGAAAATGAATTTTGGAGAAAGCATTTAATTGAGCGGAAGGCAAAGGGTGAGGATCAAAGATCTTATCAGAAACTTGCTTCAACATTTTCGTGTTGCAGTATTGTAAGGATTAAGAAGTATGTATGTGGTCATGTTAAAAAAAAATGGTCCCTGAGATTTGATGATGGATTGTATGAGAACATTACTTCATAACTGCTGAAATGGGAATATGAAGATAGTGTGAGGTTTGGTTAACATAGATTGTGGGAGTCAGTCAGACAGCTATTATTTTTCGGTCTGCTAAGCTTGTACCTTTCCAAAAATGAAACTCTGATGACAGGGATTGCACTTAGACTGAGGAGGCGTAGATGTTTTTCTTCTCAGGCTTTTTCTCTTCAAACTTCTAAAAACAAACCTATTCACATTAGACAGAGATGGTATTTTTCTGTTAATGATCTATGGTTATTTTGTTAGCCTAGGCCTCTTATCATGTGGAACCCGCGTCTAATTAGTGAGGATGTCGGAGTGGGGATCAATGTACGCAGGCTGCGGCGCAATTTTTTAAGGTAATTTTGTTTTCTGCAACCTGGCGCCGTCTTTTCTTGTCAATGTGAATTTGCGAAACTGTATAACTTTCCCATATTTTGACGGATTTTTTTTTGTTTTTTCACTGCAGCACCTTTACTGTGGCTTACTCAATGAGACCTCTACCAGATGGCGCTGTATTTAGATGTTATCCCGGGTAAGGAATCATCTACTTGATCGTCACAAAACATTCCCAAATGAATAGAGTTCTAGTTGGAGGTTGAGATTCTGTGCAACTATAAACGCATGCTGTGTTACATGGTTAGACAATAATATCATGAAAGACATTCAGTGTCTTGGCAAGCAAGCTTATCTCCCTTGCTTACAAGTTCTTCCACCAACCTGGTTCAGTTTTGCTAAATGACAGACTAGATGCTGAATGATTGATGCTGTGAGCTATCAAAATTCCAACATAAAACTAAATTGAACTAGATTGGCTTATTATACTTGTAAGTTGTAATTTATCAAACATGATGTTGCATAACATTGGTTTTGGCAACTCTTATAGATTCTCTCTCTGTCTATCTGTTGCATTTGATTTGCTGGCTTAAAGGATTGGTGTTTAATTGTTTATTTTCTGGTTTACTCCAGATTATGGAAAGTGTTCTATGATGATAAGGACCGACCAAACAGATATCTTCTTGCCAAAGAACAGATCAGCCGTCCAACTATAGAAGATCTGGAGGTTTGTTGCTCCACTACTACTATATATCTAAGTTAGGCCGTAATAAAGTAGTTGTTAAACGTCCTCTAGAAGTCTATATAGTTCAGTTAAAAAAATGTACAACAGGTAAGTCTTGTGCTGCTGATTCCTGTAGCACTGAAGTCTTGAAATTTTGTGTTCTGTTCTTGTTCATAAGTTTCCCATAGAAGAAATATGGCTAGAATACAACGGGGAGAAAACCAAGTTTCAAGAGTCATTATGGACTATGACATCTCTCTCAAAAACTTGGTGTTGTTTTTTCGCAGATAATATATGGAGGTGTGGATGAGAAGGAAGATAAGGGCCCCTCACTGTTAAATCAAGCAGCTGGAATCTTCTCTTCTATAAACCGCTTCATGAAAGTCATTTCAAGATAGACCGTGCCTTCACTTTTTAACACAGAGGCGTAGTGCTGAGCATTCAACTAAATGACACAAACAATCAGCACCAGGATTTGCTTGTAAATGCACTCCTCTATCTATTATCAGTTTGCAGATCTTTCAGAATGGATTAGCAGAGTATATATCAAATTACTTGGTGCATTCAGTTTCCTTGATCAGAGAAGTTGTGGTATATTTTCAAGGAACTCTTTTGTAATTCTATTTTTGTTCAAACAGAAAGAGAATCTTCCACAATGGTAGCAAACAGTTCACTTTTCAGAAATCAGATAATTTGATTTGATCCCTTTATGTCCCAAAGGAGCATACTAGTTCTAGCTTTACTTCACAAGAGGGTATTTTGTTAATGATTAATGAAAAGATATCATGGTCACAATTTGCTGCAATGAGTCAAGATACATAGATTACATAGCAATGATCAGCCACCAACCAGTTGAGAGGTATCTTGCAAATCGACTGAAAAATCCGTCTCATCACCATCCATGTAATATAGAATGAACCTATTATCTGGTACATACCCTTCATCTCTCATGTGTCTGAACAACTCCAGCAAGGTAGAATAAATGATCATGGTTCTGGGATGCATTTGATCTGCAACTACGAAACAATGGATTTCCTTGTCAATCTCTATCCAGCTTGTCCCTGTCTCCTTTGCCACTCCCGTCTCCTTCATTTTCCTTATGGTTCTAGCTCTCTCTTTCCACCTCCCTCTGGAAGAATATATATTAGCCAGTAGAACAAATGGCACGGGATTATCAGGTGAAGTCAAGAGCCATTGATCAGCTGCATATTTCCCTATCTCAGCATCACCGTGAATACTACAGGCACCAAGTAATGCCTGCCAAATAAATATGTCTGGCTTTACTGGTAGCTCCTCAATGAAACTCTTGGCTTCACATAGCAGTCCAGCTCGACCAAGCAAGTCAACTACAGCAGCATAATGCTCCATTCTTGGAGTCATCCCATAGATAATCTGCATTGATTCAAAGAATTCCATACCTTTATTTACTAGCCCTACATGACTACAAGCATGAAGCAAAGAGATGAATGTAACATCAGTTGGATCCACACCATATGACCTCATTTCTTCGTATAACTGGAGTGCCCTATAGCCATTCCCATGACGAGCATAGGCTGCAATAATGGAATTCCAAGAGACTGCATTTCTTTGAGCTATACTGTTAAAGATTTTGACAGATTCTTCCAGTTCACCGCACTTGGAATACATGTTAATTAGCCCATTACGTACAAACGAGTTGGAAATGAAACCTTTCTTGATGATTAAAGAATGCACCTGCTTGCCAAGAGCCAAAGAAGTATCGCTACCAAAGACACCGAGAATGGCTGACACTACATCAGGGTCAATGTCAACCCTTGCTTTTACCATTTTTACAAAGATCTGCAAAGCCTCTTCTTCATATCCATTTTTGGCAAATCCCACAAGCATAACTGTCATCGCAATTGTGTCAAGAACCTCCGCAGATTCAAACATCTGCCAAGCATCTTGTACACTGCCACACTTGGAATACACATCCATCAATGCACTTTCTATACACAAATCTGATTGAAACCCCAACTTCCAAACGATCCCATGAATTTGATGAGCCTCCCCGAGTGCCTTCATGCCAGAACATGCCAACAATGCACTTAAATATGTCAAATAATTAGGCACAACAGCAGCACCTTGCATCTTCACAAGCAAATCCAAGCTTTCCTCACAAAACTCATTTTGAGCAAGACCAGAAATCGCAGCTGTCCAAGAGATAACATTCCTCATAGCCATCTCATCAAACACCTGCCTGCCAGAATCAGCACAGCCACATCGAAAATAAGAAGTAATCAATGCATTACTTACAGCTATTTCCCTCTCCAGGCCACTCAAAAGAACCAATCCATGCATCATCTTGTTAACCATAATGAAATCAAGCCCATCACAAGCTGATAAAATAGTAGTCAGACTTGCATGATCAAATTTAAAACTACTAGAACCCATCATTTCTTTGAAATACCCAAATCCCATTTTAAAGTTCCCATTACTTAAAAATCCTGAAACAATCGAGTTCCACGAAACAGTATCTTTCACAGGCATTTCATCAAACACTTGGGATGCATCTTGTGTCCTACCACATCTAGCATACATTGTCAAAAGAGAATTCCAAACTACAAGAACGTCCTGGGTACTAGATTGATTTCCCAAAAGAACAAATTCTGGGTCCTTGAGGATGGAAGCATGGATGGAAGAACCAAGACGGACATTGCCTTCCCTTCCAGAAGTAGAAAGAAGGAGGCTTATTCCTCGTGCAGAATTCACCGGAAAACTTGGCGGCTTTACGGAGGAGAATGGTCGGAAGTGGAAGAGAAGACAGGATAAGTATGAAGGAAAACCAGGCTTTGGATTCAAGAACATCCATCCAGCATTCATCCATATAACATTCAGCAAAACACCAGTAAGATTTATGCACAAATTCTCTAATTCCTTTGGTGGGATTATAATCTGGTAACTGAAAATGTAAATGGGTCAGTTCGAGGCTTCAAGTGCATAGCCACATAGCTATCTAACTCTGTTTGGATCATTGTTATCCATTGTTCTCTATTGTATTGTACTGTATGGTAAATACAATGTTTGACTAGATTGTATTGTTTGTTGCTATTTAATAACATTTTTATTATTTGATTTGACTGTATCGTACTGTATTATAATTTATAAATTTACTAAAATATCCTTAATTATTCTAGAGTTGGAGGTTTGACTAGAATTAAATAATATAGGGTAAAGGGTAAAAAGGTATTATGAAATATTACGCCATGATATAACTGAAAAAATAAATTAAGTAACAATGGGAACACACCAAATCGGTTGTTCCATAAAATGAGGATTTTCATTGTTATGTAACAACGATATTTAACAATACAATACAATATATTTTAAGTAATAATCAAAACAAACATTGTAGGTATGATAACGGTATAATACAATACAATGGGCAACAATGAGTTAATATCTTAAAATGTCACTCAACTTTGAAAAATTATATTCTAAAGTCATTAAATTTTGTTTTGTATCAATAAAATCACTCAACTTAGGTATTTGTATCAATAAAATCACTCAACTTAGATATTTGTATCAATAAAATCACTTAACTAAATTTTATTATTTAAATCAATTTAACATGACAAAATAAATTATTTTTTTATGCCACGTTCATTATTAAAATAATAAAAAACCATCAATTCCAACGTTCACATTGAGGATCAATTGAAATTTATCCCAAACCTCACTAATTTACACATTGAGATTTTCAATCAAAACTCACATGAAAGTTGAAACGTCCAAAACCACAACTATGCATGTGAATTATTATTGCAGTAGTTATTTTTTTCATTTGCATATATGGGAAAACGCAAACAGAAAAATGAAATAATTCTTACGGCAGTTTGACGTCGGTGCAGAATGCAGATAGAAAAAGCATATAAAATGCATAAGTAGTATAATAGGTATAATTTAAAAAAAAATGAAAACAAACAAAGTTGAGGTGGTGGGGTTTTAATTTTTAATCTTAGAAATGAGAGTTGTAGAGCGATTAAAAATATGTAGAGTTGAGCCATTTCTTTATTATTTTAATAATGAATATGTGATAAAAATAATTTATTTTAATAATAAGAGTTCTGGTTTATTTACGTATTATTTTAATAATGAACATGATATAATAAAATAATTTATTTTATCATGTCAAATTTAATTATTTTAATAATAAATTTAGGTGAGTGATTTTATTGATATAAATATCTAAGTTGAGTGATTTTATTGATACAAAACAAAGTTTAATGACTTTGTTAGATAAATTCTTCAAATTGAGTGACCTTTTGAGATATTAACCCGGGCAACAATGATCAAAACAGAGTGAAACATTGTTTACTCTGTTTAGTTCAAGAGGTGTTTCAACAACATTTTATAAGAATGGGTTAAACTACATTTAAACTATCACACTTTTACGAGTTTCATAACTCAACTAATAGTACCATAAAAAAGTTGAGTGACACTCTACCCTAAATAATCAAAGGGTAGAGTTCATAACAAATACTATTACATTCAAGAGAGTAGCATTGATGGACAAATCACTTGCTATTTCAATTTGTCATCAATGAGCCATCAATGACAATGGATTCATGCACTTTGGCAAGAAATTAAGAGAAAGAAGTTAAACTTGGCAGTTTAATTTGGGCAACATATCATCAATTAGCCATCTTGCTAACCAACTGTAAGCATTTTGTGTAAAATGAATTCCATCCCAACTGATGTGAGTATTCGGGTCAACACACACTGGAACCATTGGATCACCACAGCTTCTATGTCTGTTGTAATTATATTCTCCGCCTATTCCACAACATGCTTTTTGTAGAGAGTTGTTGTCAAATCCTGAAAATGTATTTGAATCAAGAAAGTTTATAGATGAATATGGTTTTCTTTGCTAAAAAGAAACGATATTTTTAGCACTTACCAAGACTGACAGCATTTTCTAGAAGCCACATAAAGGCGTTGTAGCTGTCACCATAAATCAGTGTAATGTTTGGGTAATCTTTCTTCAATTCATCAATGGCTTGTTGCAAATAGCGATTGTAGAATATTACAAAATTATTTAAGTCCTTCAAGCAATGGTGCTCATCATAGGCAGTTGAATTGTTGGTCATGAATTCCGTTAGGAACAATGGGATACAACCTATAGGGAAGTTGCCTGGAACTATAATTCGAGTAGCCCCAAAAACCGATAATCCTCTGGAAAAGAAGTAATTGATCACACTAGGAAACAAATATCAACCAAATAAAAGTAGTAATCAAGAAAGAAAAGGTAAATAAACTCACTTTAACAGCATGAATGATGGTCTGAACAACTTGTGGGACAATTCTTCGCAATTCTTCGATGGTTTTGCCTTGCATTAAACCAAAATTGAATTCATTTCCTCCAATTTCTCCAACTAGGAAAAGTGAGTTGTTCAACTTTTCTGGACAATCTAGCAAGCAAGAAGAAAATTAATGAATTTGCAGAAGATAATTGAGTGATTATTTAACAAATTAGCCATTGTAATGAAAATTACTTGGAGAACAGGTGGTGTGGAAATGGGAAGACATCCAATCAAGTTGAACACTCAATGAACTATTGGTAGCTCCTATATTATCAATGTTGTGCTCTGCCAGGAATTCGGCTGATATAGCAGTAGACCCAGCTACTGCAAAATTCACACCATGTCTAAATTCTGCTTTTTCATCCTTGTACGGATTCAGGAGAGGAAGACCACATTCCACCGCTGTATATTATGAGAAATGAAACACAAAACATCAAACATATATATCATATCTATAATGTTTGATTGAACGAAATTTTATATCCTTAATGAGCTTTTTCTCCAATTTTGACATCTATAGTCTCTAATTTTGAGTATGCATAAGTAGACACTTAAATTAGTATAAAATTGAATAATTCGACACAAGCATCCTACACATGGCATAGTATATATATATATATCAATGTGAGTGTATCTTACGGAAATAGTCATTTAGGACGCGTATATCTACTTGTTCAACTTTATATAAATTTAAGTGTCAACTTCTGTACACTCAAAATTGAAGGGCATAAATGTCACTTTAAGTTAAGGTTAAGAGTATGATAAAGTTATCACATTATAATTGTCTACATATTCCACTTTAGACACTTCAAGAAGGGCTAGTACCCATTGAACGCCTAAACTGTTCAAAATATGTGTCTATTAAACAAACAATGTTGATATGACAGAAAAAGTCTTTTTCACTTTCCTTTGGCGTGTGAGAAATCTAAAATCGTATTTTATTTTAATTTTTGAAAAAATAATAATTTTAATTCAAAAAAAAAAGCCTCACCCCGTTCCCCCTCCCCCTCTTTCTTCATCTCATTTAGGTTTTCAAACCTAACTGCATCTTGTGTCTATTTTTTAAACCAACTAATTGGATTTGCAAAAAGAAGGAAGATTGAAGATTTTTGGACATTGGAGTGAAAAATTGAAGACTTTTGGACATTGTAGTAGAAAAATTAGCCGACGTTCGTCTAGCTCCACTCCCGAGCATCTCTAACAAACATCACCACTCAATTAAAATGTAAACTAATTTAACATATAGAAAATAATATCAAAAAATTCAATAAAATTAATTTGGTCTTCTTGATTTCTCTTTTACATACGATTTTGAAATAATTATCCATCAATAAATTCAGCTTCTTCATCACTCTTGTACAAGGCTCTCTATATCTTTATCTCATGTATTAGGTATGAAAAATGTTATTTTTTTAAGAATTGAATCTATAAGTAATTTGATAAGATGTTGAGTTTTGTGGTTTGGGAAAAGAAATGGTGCAGGGAAGAAGATGAAAAAGAAAGGGGGGTGAGGTTGCGTGGGGCAAGGGGCTGGGTAGAAAATGTATTTGAAATAAAATTTATTTTTTAATTTTAAAAATATTTTTTCTATAATTTTGGGGCCCACTTGCTACATGTCATCTTTTCATTAATCATTTCGCCATGTCATCGAGAGTGTATCCCACATACTTAACATTTTTTTTATTGATTATTGAAAAATGTCTAATAGGAACAAATTTTGTATAATAAAAGTGTTCAATAGGTAATAGTCTTAGTTGAGATGTTTAAATGAAATATGCGGACAACTTTGAGGAGTCGTCGATGCCTTAAGCCTAAATTTAAGTATCAACTTGTGTACACTCAAAATTGAAGGGCATAAATGTCAATTGAAGTAAAGTTAACGAGTATAATAAAGTTATCAAATTATAAATTCCATTAAAATTAATAATAAAAAAATTATTCTATTCATTTGTTTCATTATAGAACAACATTACCTTATATATTCAATCAATATTTTTCATTTGTTTTGGAATGAATTTTTTTTTTTATAGGACGTTTCTTTTTATATAATTTTTAAAAAAATATATGATTTTAAAGAAGTATAATAACAATTTAAAAAAATAATTGATAATATAAGAGTAGAATAAATGTTTTAAAAAGTCAATAAAGAAAAAGAGGGGACTGAGGGGGGAGAATGACTATTTCTCAAAATTGAGGGGAGGGGATTTTAATTTAAGTTGGGGGATTTAGATGATTTTCACCTTATTACTACTATTTAGAAGAGGAGGTACAAGCAAAATACGTGTTCGTTAACATGCCTACTTGTATGTCAAGGGTATTTTTGATATCTTTTTATGCTTTGTTCTTTAAGATTTTGTATTTTATTGGCTTATATATATGTATGTAAAAAATGACATAAAAAGTACTATAGATTATAATAATTAACAACTTTAAATGCATATAAAAATTTTGGTTGGCTTTTGAAATTTCATAATATCACATAAATTGAGATAAAGAGAGTAATATATATTATGTGAAAATTACGTAAAAGATATTATAAATCCCAATAATCAACAACTTAAAATAATATATATATATTAAATTTGCTTGAGTACTCTCGG